TGGAATCCTGAGTCCCATACAAAGGAACTTTCAAAGAGTGCTTATCGATTTCTCGGTTTCTTGAAGACAGGCACCACGTTTTGTTCTGTTTAGATGTGCTTTGGCTTTCATCTTTGAATTTCCAACACAGGCATTTGAGTACCCTCCCTATGTGTGTCAGCCACTGTTAACAGTCTCAGGGAAACAACCAAAAGAGACACCAGCCCTCAGGCTCTCATGGACCTTCCAAAGAGGGAGGGCAGGCAATAAACAGATAAGCAAAGAAGGGAGCAAGATAATTTCAGAAAGCAGTGAGTGCCACAAAGAAAACAAGAGTACTAGATACCTTCTGCTCTCCTCGCAAGATTAGCAGCTCTTCTGTCCCTGTGGAGTTCTCCTTTAGACAGACTTAGAAAAAAGATCAGCTGGAGGAGCCTAATTTACATTTTAAAAGGAAATTAAAATGTTTTGAATTACAACTAAGAGTTTTCCTTTTAAGGGAAAATATTCGTTTTACATGAAAATTATTTTTTCTCTCAGATTGCATCAGCTGTTTTGAAACAAACAAAAATTAACAATGTGTTCGTTGGTGAAATGTGCACCCCACTATGTTTAACCTGCTTTATAGTAAACAAAATCCTCATATTTGCTTGACTACTGCACTGAATTTTTTTTCCTAATGGAGTGAAAAAAGTTTTAAGTGCAGAAATTATCTAAGACTAATATACTGGTTAAGATAGCAGACCACACCAACTTCCAGTGTTTCTGCTGCGTTTGCTTTTTTAGGAATTATATTTGTCCATGCAGGCTTCTCAAAATTAAAAGTGGAATTTCATGAAAGTAAATATTAATAACCTAAAGAATCCCATCAGTTTCAACAGTTCTGCTCTTTGGCCTTAAGTTCTTTCTGATTTCCCAAGCAAAAAAATAGGTCACCCTTCCACGGAGGGCTGAGGACTGAGACACTCAAGTCAGCACCCGGGCTCTGCAGGAAGAAGCCACAGCCTTGCTTTGCTGGCTATCCATAGCTATATTCCAAGACCTTTGAGGGACCTGTTATCACTATTTTAATCTCCCGCAAACAATTTATACTCAGGAGGTACTCAACAGGTATCTACGAGTTGGCCTTGGCCGTTGGCTGATGTAGACCCATTTCTACTGCTGAGTGTTGGTCTGGCATTTTTCTGCAACCTTTCTCTCCCTGAGCCCACAAAGAGAAGCTAAAGGCAAAGTCTAGTGTAGTTTGTATGTGTTAAATGAATTTGCTCTTAAAAGAGATCATATTTATCTCAGTTTGTTCAAGCGTCGGCCAAACAGTATCTTATGTCTCAAGAAACACTAAGAGTGGTCACTGAGGATTGTGGAGCGCATTTAAACTCCACAATTCCTGGGAATATACACATCTCCTGTTTTGAATATTTGGGAAATACACAATCAATTATAGTCTGAAGATATCTGGAGTCGGCATTCATAATTTTTTTCCCATCTTATTTTCCTCACTTTCATGGTATCCTCCTTGACCAAACGGGCTTTTCCTTTGTCTCTATCTTTCTGTGTCAAATGAGTAGCTAACCGGGAAAACACAGACATCAGAGAGAGCTGGGGGCGGATTTGTGGCTCCTGACTGTCCTCCTTTCCATCGGCGGGCATGCCTCAGAGCCCCTGATCTCTGCAGCCTCGTGACATCAGAGCAGCCGCACTGACCAGCAGCGCAGACAACCTGAGTTGTCTTCTCCAGAAAACCAAATGCCACTCACACTGGTCTATCCAGCACGACTTCTCGGCTCTGCACTGCACGAGCGAGCTCCAGGCTCTCCAGCCACAGAACTGTTTCCTACTCCAGTGGCAACTTTTGCCACAATGAAGTGTGAAGCTGGGTGCCTGAGGAAGAGCCCAGAGGTCAGCAACTAGTGGCACATGGCAGGACATGAGGTGAAGCCAGGAACGGCCTGATAAGGGCAGAGTAAAGGCACTGGGCATGGTGGCCACTGACCCCTGGCATTAACGTCAAACCTGCTTCTAGGGGGCTCCGTGTCTCTCACTGGTTGGCGAACACCTCCCACAGCAGCTTCCTGGCTTCCTTCTTTCTGTCTCTGGGGCCTGGCTCCTGGCAGCAGCTCTTACTAAGTGTTGTTTGGTGCATGAGTGAGCAAACCAGCCAGTCAGTGTGAAGAGCCAAAACGCAGAGCTACAATGGACAGGAGCAAAGCTGGCATATCATACCTTCTATGCGTGATTTGCTTTTGATAGTAACAAAAATAAAACCAGCATTCACCAAACCATAACTGGACACAGCAGCCCTTACATGTCAATCTGCGTATCAGACCAAGAGGAGATCAAACTGAAAGAAAAAAAGAATAACAACACTCAACAATTAGACACAGCTGTCTGTGTTTGGGCATTTTTACATTTTTACAGAATCTAGAAATTATTTTTCAGAAGGCTGATATTTTAAATGGCAAATATCACAAAACACTGTCCAGCTTCAGTATTTTAGCAATTCAGACCAGTAGCTTGTCAGGCCGCAATAGACAGAAACAAAGACCCAGGGTGGAGACAAGCAGGTCAGAGCAGAAACTGGCTACTCTGCTTTAAGAATCAGTCTCTCCCTTGCCCAAGCTGGAGTGAAGTGGGTCTGATAATAGATTTTGTTTAAAAGTATCTTCTCATTTACTGCCTTAGTCAAGTCCCAAATGAGACTGTCCTAACCTTTTGCTCCTGTTCAAGCCCAAAGCTACTGCTCTGGGCAGGGCAGGGTGTGGGGTGAGAGGTGAGGGGACGGCTCTTGAGTGTCCCCTGACAAGTGTGGTTTCTCTGATGCTCCCACTTCTCTTTGCTGGGCCTTTCTGCAGAGTAGACCCTTCTACTGACTATTCTCCTCTCCGGGGATTTTGTGTTTCTAAAGGGACAACCTGCTAAGAATCCCCTGGGAAGACTAAGCCCTCTACCCAGAGCCCCAAATCTCTGTTCCCCTCCACAGCATCCAGCATGGCCCTGAACACAGGCGCCAGCAGCTCCAACAGAAGCTCCAGCATCTCAGGACGACGGGCTTTTCCCAGAAGACTACAGTCCTGTGTCTCAGTCACACCACCACCCTGCCAGGATAGCTTGTCACTGCAAGGTACAGCAGACTTCAACCCTCCACCCCAAGTCGACAGCCAACTGAGAAAAGTTAAGATGTTTATTTTTTCAAAAAAGAATTCACAAGTTCACCACTTAGGGGACCGGGAAGAACCCCAGTCCTACACCAGGCCTACAGGCTGACCCCAACACCCCGGGAGAGCTGGTGGGGCCCCATATTCTCTGTACCATCTTCAATGTGTCGCCATGTGGGTCCACTTCAGTAAGGAAAGTGCTTCTACTGACCACATCTCTGGCCAACAGAGAAGGCCACATGCTCTGTCCACAGACACCCATCCCCAGACCCCTTTCCCACCTAGACTGCAGCTGGGTTCTAGACTGAAATGAGGTGGGGGGCAGACACCTCGGGGAGGACTTGGGGGTCAGCTGGGAGCACCGGGCCAGCACCCTCTCAGCCAATTAAGTGGCGAGAGGCTACTGACCACGCGGCATTTGCCGTGGACTGGCCCCTGCTAGGGAAGCGGGGTTACAAGGAGCGGCCGATCCCGGTGCTTGCCAGCACGGGGGCTGCATCCCAAAGATGCCTGGGCAGGCAGTGAGCCCGGATCAGCTCCGGCCGCGGGGAGGGGCTCAACCTCGGGTGCCCTGGAGACGCGGGTCGGCCCAGGCCTGGGATTGAGCAGCAGCTGGGAGCGGGAAACCGAAACAGCAATCCTGGAAGAGCTTCTGCCCTGAGAAGGCGCCGCGGAAACGCGGCTCCTCAGCGAGGCGCAGACAAAGGCTCGGGTGCGCACGCGGTGGACGGTGGCTCCGGAGCCGAGCTCTGGGCCGCTAGGAGCCGCGCCCGGCTCGGCTGGCGCCAGAGTCGCCCGGGGGACCCATGGGCGCGACCTCCCGGACCAGGAGGAGCTCCCACCCGGCCCCGCCGCGGTCTTCCCGTCCTCACCATGCTCGCCCTCCACCCGAGACGCCCCCCTCCTCTGCGCACCGGGCGCCTCCTCTTTCCTCACTGTCTCCCGCCAGCCTGGTTCTTTCTAGCGAACCCCTGCCTCGACTTTTCTGCTCAATTTTGTCCCCCACCCGCGTGACAGGCCTTCTGCCACCTCTGCCCCAGCACGCTCTCAGCCCCGCGCCCGCGGGTGGCGAGGAGTGGCGGCCACGCCACAGTGGGCCCGGGGGCGCATCCCGCGGGTCGGAGGCGGCGGCGCCTTTCTCTTCCACCCTAGCGCCCCATTGTCTTTCCATTTTCTCTACCAGCCCGGACCCCAGAGACGCCCCAGGACCAACAGGACGCGGCCTGGGGTGGGGGTGCGTCCCCTGGGTAGAGATGCACCGGTCTCCACCCCGCCACTCCATGCTATGGCTGACGACGGTCACTGCGCCGGGTGGGAGGCCGGGCGCGCCCACTCCGAGTCCCGGAGAACGGCGGTGCCTTCACGGTTGGAAGCGCAGGGTTCCGAGGCCCCGGCCTCCCTCACCCCAGCTAAAGGGACCGGGTGGGCTGGACCCCCAAGTGGAAGGAAGCGCGTCTGCTCCAGCCAAATGGCCACAGGCTCAAGAGGGAGGAACCTGGCTAAGTGGTCACAAAGTTGAGAGTATAAATACGCGCCGGAGGAGCGTGGCTAGAAACGGCACGAGAGGCAGGGAAGCAGGCGGCAGGTCCCGCTCGAAACGCCCAGCTCCCGCCGCCCTCCTGGGCCTCCCTTCCCCCGCGCGCACGCGGAGCCTGGGAAATCCCGGTGTCCCCGCGCGGCCAAGGCTCCCGCGCTCCACCAGGGGCACTGGCTCCTGCCCCTCCAGAAAATCCCGCTGGTGGCTCCATGCCGGGACACCAGCACCCCGCTCGCCACCCGCTCCCAACCCAGCCGCTCAAGCCCCCAGCCCGCCCCCAGGGACGAGGAGACGCCCCACCTCCGGGGAACTAGGAGCAGGCCACTTACTGGGGCTGAGGAAGCACTCGGTCAGCCTTCGGAAGCAGCTCGCATTATTAGAAGGTCCATCTTCCATGTCGGAGCCGAAAAGCAGCGCGGCCGCGGCGGCAAGGGCGAAGCCGGCGCCCAGGGGACGCCGCGGAGTTTGGCCGCCGCCGCCTGGGCCAGCGCCGGGGAAACCTGGAGAGCCCGCGCGGCTGGCGGCAGAGCCGAGGGGGAGCCGGGGCGGCGGCGGCGGCGGCCGGGGCCCGGCGCGGGCTGGGAGCAGCAAGCCCTGGAGCGCAGGCGAGAGGAAGAGCCGCCGCCGCCCGCCGCCGCTGCCACCGCCGCCGCGGTGACTACTGCTGCTGGGGACGCTCAAGGGAGCTGCCTCTTGTCCTCCTCCTCCTCCTCCGCCAGCATCGCCGCCTCCTCCCGCCGCCGCCGCCGCCGCTGCGCCCTCCCTTCCTGGGAGACGCACGGGGAGGTGAAAGGCAGCTGAGGAGGGGAGAAAAGAGGGGGGCGGCGGGGGGGGCGGCGGCCAGAAGTAAAAGGAAGATGGAGAGGAGGAGGGGACCCGGGAGGAGAAGGCGAGCGCCCAGGGAGCGCGGGCCGCGACCCAGCCGCAGCCGCCGCCGCGCGCAGAGAGGGTGCCGGGACCCCCCGCGGGGCTGGCGCGGGCTGCGGAGGAGTGGGGCGGGCGCGGGGGCGCGACGCGCTCTGCCCGGCCGCGGCCAGGCCACGCGGGGGCCGGGCCCGGGCCCGCCGCGCTCCCCCCGCCGGCCGCGCTGCGCCTGGGTTCCGGGCGGAGTTTGCCCCGGCCGCAGCCCGGCTGGTCCCCGGCCGTTGGCGGGGGACCCTGGGGGCGGGGAGCGAGAGGCTCCTCGAGACTGGCCATGGTTCCTCCCCGGGCAGCGGAGAGGGCAGGCCGCTGGCTGGCGGGCGGGCGGGAGGGGCGCAGCGGGCCGGGGCTCGGTGGGCTCCGCCCCCGCTGGACCTGCCCACCGCCGCTGGCCGCCCGACTCGCAGCCTGGTCCTTCTCTCCGGTCTTCTGGTTTCTCCCAGTCCAGTCTTCACATTGTGCTCGGCTTGGGCTGCGGAAGGAGCCGGGGCCGGGGGCCAGGCCCGGCAACGGCTCCCGGCTACCAGCAGGCGCGCACAATCGGCGCCCTCCCGAGCGGGAGCGAGGGGCGGCGGAGACCCTCCCTGCAAGCGAGGCGTGGCGTGGTCTGTGAGCGCTCCGGCGGCTGAGCCTCGGCAGCGGCTGGAAAGCAACGGAGAAAAGCGCCGCAGTGCCGCTGCCCGTGGAGGCGGTGGCGGCGGCGGCTGCAGAAGACGCCCACTGGCGGAGCAGGCGCTCCCCACGCCGCCGCCTCCCGCGCCCACGTAGCGCGCCCCGCGGGACTCGGCCCCTGTGCCAGGCTCCGGCACCCGCGTGGCCCTCGGCACGCCGCTGGCATCCCGGACCCGAGCGGACGGGCAGAGCAACTGCTGCGTCTCCTCCTGGCCCTGTCACATCTAGGTCAGGTGTTCGGGATTCTAAATCCTGAGTCCCGCAGCGGCTCCAGCTGTGCGCTGCTGGGCGAGCCACTTCGGCCTGCCGGTTGCCCCAGCCAGGGAATACTCCTGGTGGCCGGCCAGCAGCTCCAACCCTGCTGTGCTCAGTCCGAGCTCCCGAGGGACAGTTCCAACTAGGACCTTTGGTCGGAGTTTAAATGAACACTCAGTGTTTCCCATAAACTAGGGTTTGAAATACGGTTCCTCCCCAGGACACTCTCTCGGATAGTCACTTTAAAACGAACTTCGTCTGCACAAGCCCAATTTGCATTGGTTGGGGTTAAAGAACGGAAAGGGCAAACTGTGGCCAAAATGAGCAAGACCATTGCCCCCAAACCCAGAGGTTGCCTTGCCATCTGCGGCTTTCTTGGACACTCCCACTCGGTAGTCACGAATCCAAGCAGTTGCCACTGAGGGAAAATGAGCCGCCCAATGGGCGCTCAGAACTAGGAGCCGCCAAAAGTTTGGGGAAGTTGGAGCACAAGGGCGCACAGATGCGCAGGTGTCGGTGTTCGGGCAGGCACGCGGGGTGGGGTCACCACGGCGCGCTGGGTCGGAGGAGAGGCGGTGGGTCTGCTGTCCCACGGTGGCACGGGCTGTCCTGACTCCCAGGACGAGGTTACTTTCCCCGGAGTGGAGCACACGCGCCAAAGCCCATCTTTCACGAAGGGCAAAGCGGTCACCCAAGCGCGGGACGTGCGCTATGATGTAGCAACTGCGCTGGCCGAGGGCCCTGGGCTCCCGCTGTGCGCTGAGTCCTGGGGCCGTTTCTCGCCCTACACGTTTTCTTCTCTCTATCCAGTTTCACATGTATTTTTATGTTGAAGCGCGCTCCAGATTCCTCACTAGTCAATTCTTTCCCCGATTCCCATCCAAACTCCCCACAGTGGAAAATAACACTTTTGTATTTGCACAAACTGAGCAGTTGGGATGCGAAGGACATGCTGGGGCTCCCCTCCCCGAGTAAAGTCCACAGACGTCTCCGCGACTCCCACATGGATCCTGAGTGTCGCGTGTAACGGGCATCAGCCTTGGCACTCACTGGGTCAGAATCCCTACATTCGTGGAAGAAGAAAATGATTGTGGTGACTCTTACCTTAGGAGCGCTGCCTTTGTTTTTGATTTTTTTTTTCGGCAAAGAAAAAACTAGAATGATTGAGCCAGGCTGTCCGCAGCCTCCTGGCTTGACGCTTCTCCGGCCGCGCAGATTCCACTCCGCTTACTTTGCTGCGAGTCTGGAGTTTGTGACGTAGCGCCTTGACCAGGCAGGAAGACTCTGGGGGCTGTCCGCACATTCAGGAAAGACACGTTTCTCCCCAAGTGTTTATTGTTCCTTCCTTTACATGCAAAAATGTTTCTCCTTGTCATTTAAGTTTCCTTATCTGCATTTTGAAGTTATTAAAGCGATTTTTTTCAGTTCCAAGAAAATATACATTTAACTTGCCTATAAGCCCCCTTGCGGGCGCAGGAGACGGGGTAGGAAACACCAAATATTTGTCCCGGGAGTCCTTGTTAAATCGGGAGGCAAACTTTGGAATTTTCATTCACCCTTTCCCAGAATCAACCTCCTGTTTACCTTTCGTCCTTCTTTTCTCCAAGTGCTTGCTGCACGGGACGTTTTCCTGGACAAATTTAAATCACAAAGCATGACAGCGGGAAAGGAACAAGTTGAGGAGGGGTTTACTGATTAGCTGTGAAATTTGGATACATGGTCTCCCTCCTTCATACTGGTGTCCGCGTTTGTAAGTCTCAGAGGCATTCAGCCACTTTCTTTTCTTCGTGAACTTTGCTTAGTTGAAGACTTTAATGACAAAGGCGCAGACACACAGGCTCCGTCACTCACCTGTGCTCAGGTGCTGCAGCGCCCGCCGGAAAACGCGCTGCTTGCAGATTCCTTTCCTTCCCTTTGAGTTTCTTTACTAATATATCAGAAAGAGGAGAAGGCTGTGACACTACATTTTTGTTACTCCAAACCTTTTGTGAATAAACGCATCGGCCCGTAATTGAGGGAACACTGTATTCTGAGAGTTCCCATAAAGGCTGCAATATAGTGACATGGCAAAATGTTATTAGACTACAGGGCAATTTAAGCATACTGTCATCGTCAGGAGCAGAGGAAGAGCGATGGCAGAAATTCACAAGGTTGCAGTGCTCTCGGTAAAATAAACAATTTTCCATACTTTCAGCTGAGGAAATGCCAAGCACAGAATTTGCAAATGTTGCG